AGTCATCAGGAGCCGCATTCCCTCCTTCGTCAAGAAGCTTGGCCCTACCACGCACAGAAGATTTGATGAATAACATGCATGCTGATCCCCTTGCCTTTGGCATTTTCAAAATGCCACTTAGTACATAGCTCTTAAATGAGTCGTTTTTTATGGGAATGCCCTTTTAAATCTAATTGTTTTTTTCTCTCTTGTTTCAGCACCTGACAATCCCCTCGCATGAGGTCCCTGGAGGTCAAGCTAGGTTTAACTTCAGTATCTCCAGTGATGAAGACAAACAAGGGAGCTTCGAGTGCGTCCAGATGACCGGACAACGGTAAGTTGAAAATTAATCTTCGAGTGTAGCTTCAGTAATTTTTGCTTGTAGAATCTAATTGATTGATTTTAATTTTTTAGGTCTCTGGCCGCACTCGGAGCTCTCACATGCAAGATGCGTATTCAGGCTAAGGAAGATGTATATGAAGCAACGAGGCACAGGGTAGCGGCAGCAGAGGAGCAACAAAAGAAAAATTGGTGAGTTTGTGTTTCATCTTTACCTTTTACTACTACATTTTTATTATGGCAAATTCTATTCTGAAATTTATTATTGATTCTTATTTTTCTAGCACTCAAGTTATAAAACAGTCAGATCTTGGCAAGACAAAAGGCAGGCGATCAACCAAATGGGAGGAGCATCGCAACGAAAGAATAGCTGCAGCCACAGCTGCTGCCCAGAATGGGCCTGGCGGGCGTCGAGAATACTCACGCACTCGGCCGCCCGCGTCTACTTCGCGTGAAACCAATCTATTAGGACTTTCTGCAAAATCATCGTCACCCAACAATAGCTACCAGCGCAGCAACCCCCACCCCAAGTCGCAAACTAATCCAGACATCTCCAAACGCCCGCTCAAGTAAGTTTAAATATATCTACTATAATCAAAGATGACCCTGCAATTGACTAATGGCACTTTTCTCTTCCAGGGAACGACTGATCCATTTGCTTGCTTTGAGAACATACAAGAAATTAGAACTGTATGACCGTGCTGTCAGAGGTTGTTATTATTCTTTCTAAATCTATGCGCATGCCACTACTGTCTGTTCCAGTTCTAACTCTGGTCATGAATTTTTATTGCAGATGGGTGGAAAGGGAGCAGTAGTTCTCAACTATTTTGGATGCAAGTGAATCAGGTGGCGACTTTTAAGGCAAATGTGTACCAGCTAAAACGGGAAATGTGGGCAGAGGTTCAAGAAGAGTGGCCATTCTACACTGAGCAGGACCGTGCTCTTTTGAAGAGGTCATTATAGCAAAGAATTGAAAAGAACTAGTAGTTCTTATATCTAGTTTTGTTAAAGTGTTAATTTTCTTCTGATCTCTGCTTTGTAGACGGAAACCTCAAAACCTTACTCCACCTGGTAATAGCGATGGAGGAAGTTCTGTCAGCAGTGGACAGTCTCCAACATCCACGCATCCAGGCTCCCCACCTTCTATTATATCAGGCATTAGTAATAAACGTCCAGGCTACTATGAATCTGCTGATGGTTTTCAAACCAAACGCCAGCGAATCTCCCATTATGTAAAACCTGAACCTCCCCCAACTAGTAAGTTATCCTGAGTGTGACTGTGTTCATCAGTGAATACTTATATTTTCACATAATGTTTGTTTTATCCTGACACCTTTTTAAATTTATTTTGAACTGTTATTTACAGACTCACCAAATCTGTTCAGTTCTGGCCTTCCCTCTTTGGATATGGATTCTGACTGTCCAACTAGACCTTCAAATTCACCATCTCGCAATGAGCGTGTTCCAAGGCCTGACAGAAATGATTGGTCTGAACGCTCAGATTGGAATGATCGTTTAGACAGACAAGACAGAGATCCAGTAGAGAAATCAGACCGGCCAAACCAAATGGGTTGGAATGAACGTAATGACTGGAATGATCGGGGAGAACGGACAGAGAGAAACAATGACCGTGCATATCGCATAGATCGTCCTGAAAGATTTGACAGAAGTGAACGAAAAGACTGGAATGAGAGATCAGAATGGAACAGGGATAGGAGAGCTTATGATAATTCTTGTGATCAGGAGAATCAGTTTCAATACAAGACGGACAGTACATTCAAAAAAAATAGTGATAATAGTGCAAAAGAAAAGTTTGCTCAGAAAAGTGAATCTGTTAATGCTGACAGTGCATCGCGAATGGGTGATACTAAAGTCAATGGGCTCTCCTCTGATAGTCGGGGACGCAGCTTTAATAGTTCATCTGACAGGGACCGCCTTGCAACATCATCTACGCTACCTAAAGACAGACTCTCACCATTGCCTAGACCGAGGAACTCGGGAAGGGATGGTTACAATGGCTCAGATTCTTTAATGGATTCAAGAACAAATTGCAAGCAGGTTCCTGGTGAGACGAGGAATTTATCATTGTCTCGTCGACCAGGAGAAGACCCCCGGGATGGAAGAGATAGCAGAGACCGTGTTCTTACCCAGATGTCTAGTAGCAGAGCTCAAGAGTCTCACCATGACAATTTTGATAAGAACCAGTTGTCTGCTAACTCTAGGTTGAGTGCAGTCCAAGACGCACCACGCTCAGACAAAGCTAGCCAATATACATATCCAGAGTTCCTTAAGTAAGTACCTATTGTTTTTTCTTCTGTGTTTTAAGCCTAATCATGACAACATTAGGGAAATCAATCAATATGTCAATTGAATTCTCACATTTTCTTGTTTTTGCAGAGAATACACGAAAATTGAAAATGGTGAACAGAGGCGCCAGTACAAAGCAGATTTCAACAAAGATTATCGAGAGTATCAGACGCTTCATCAGATGGTAGAAAGAGTGTCACAACACTTTGCACAGTTAGAGAAAAGACTTCGACAAGAAAAGGAAGGAAGTGATGGCTACAAGGTAATGCATGAAATTTGTAGAAATCCAGCGTACCCTTAATTGACAGCTTTTTATTAAAGGTCTTGTTTTCAATTTTTCAGAGGATAAAGAACCAGATTGTTCAGGAGTATTATGCCAACAAGAAAGATGCAAAACTGAACGAAAGCAAGAAACGATTTACGTATTTGCATGACAAGCTATCGCATATCAAGAAGTTAGTGCAAGAATATGATACTTCAACTCAGAAGGGAAATGCTGACAGCTGACATTGGGTACAATGACCTTTAGTGAGGCTCTTCAAATTCCAGAGTATCAGCATATTGCCTTTTTTAACTCTGAGCATTCTTGTAGGGGGTAAAAGCCATAAGATAGAATTGCAAGTCAAAGTGATTTATGAGTACAATCTGTTTTTGCTTGGAAATGACTGTGTAATGTTTGCGCACAAGCTGCTGTCACCAGTGGAATGATTTTGATGCGGTGCCTGGCCAGCAAGACCCATGATACACCTGCCATCAGTGCTCCCGCCTAGTTCTTAATTATTCATTTACATTTGCCATCATTTCTGACCAACTGACATGTGACTGACTTGTGGGGTCTCTAATTGCTCTACCATCCTACACCACATTTGCATTCCTCCGTAACTGTGAGTTTCTTTTGAAATGTATCTTTGAAATTTTAAACAATTCTTTGTCTTCAATATATTTTAACTATGCTCAAAGATGCATAGACATCTTCAATCATGTGACTTTTCACTTAACTTACATTGAACTGGTGTATAGTAAAAATAATCTTCCCTGAAATAAGTTCTTCAGGTATTTTTCTTTTTTAAAAAAATAACAAAAAACACTTGTGAACTGTTCTAGTCCTATTCTTTCTGTAAATTTCCTGTTTCTTACTTTTGACCTTATATTTTCTTTCACAACAATACAAGGTGTTGTGTCAGAAAGCATTTCTGTCAGTCTTTTCCACAGTTTTGGCGGAATTCAAAGGTGGTTCATTTAGATCCTCGTATTTTTTAGGAAATGTGGTGTTTAGAGTATACTTAATACTGATCATGTTGTGATAAAATTCTTTATGGGAGGCTAGTGCATTTTGTAAAGTACAATTCCATGACTACTCTGCTAAATGTGGACTATAGTCCAGTGTGATTTCATTCGGCGATATGTACTGAAACTTAGCGCCCATGAGCCAATAAAGAATGCGTACTAATGCAGCCAGGCATTTGTCATTAAGGTTAGTGGAAATTTTCAGACACATATTACAATCAAATTTGTGAGGATGTTTACTAAAATGTTTTACTCCTTTTCTTCAAATCTCAATTGTAGATCCAATTGTCATTTATGTAGCAAGTATAATTATCGAATTTTGTGGCCCTTACTGTACAAATTCTCAATTCTGAAGGATATTTAAGATTTTATTAGTAGAGCTTATGAAACCAAATCTTGAAAAAGATGCCTTTTTTCTATATAATTTAAACAAGTGAATGTGATTATGTTTTAACCTTGTGACTCAAAGGATGAAAATTTTTATTTTGGTGAAGGTTACTCAGCGAATACAATAAATTTCATTTGATTCTCTCCATATAAAGTAGTGTGTACAGATAATGTTTGGGTTTCATAAGCTACTAAACCCTTCTCTAATTTTAGCCACTCCTCCTTTCATTGACCTGTGCTCTTTCTTGGAAAAAAAAGAAGAAAAAAAAAACACAAAAATATTACCTGCAATTCTTAAATTTTTCTCTATTAAAATATCATTTTCTCTTTTCCCTTTTTTTCTGAAATAAAGCTTAACCATCCTCACATCCAATGCAATACCAAGGTGTGCTTTCTTAATTGCGCTCTCCTAAGTTTGCATTCAATTTCATTTCTGGTTGTGTAGAAACTATTTTTTTTTTAATTTTTTTTGTCTGCTCAATGCATTATGAACAAATGAAGTTTTCAGGTTTGGGGCTGTGCGCATGCATCCTCAAATATCAATTGTATGTGATAGCTTCGTATGCCCTACGAACATTCAATTAGTTAACTTTGCCATATACACATACTTTATCAATTTCATATTCAGTTACTAATTGTGTGTACGTTATACTTTCTAAGGGCTAGTAACTCAAATTTTCTGTACATGTATGTTTGTGTTCACTTTAGCTTTTCCATTTATCTAAAGGAATTTTCCATCAAGAAAATCCAGCATTGTGTGTTATCTCAGGATAGTCTGTAGGTACTTAAAGTAATGAAAGACTGTGAGGAAAACTGTATGCATTGTCCCATTTCTGATACTTACGTAAATTTGACTGATATGTACTTGCAAAATCTTATATATATTAGTGGCACAATGTAATTTATTCTTTTCAGAGATTTTAATGGCAGCTGTACTCTCTCTTTGTGTGTTTGTGCAGTTTTCATTTTTGATGATTGATGGCCCAAATTTCTGTTAAAGTGTATTCAAAGCATATTCTAATTGTAATGGACCAAATCTGCTTGTTGTCTCTTCGTAAAAGAATTTAATTTACCATGTTATAGTGCAACAGGTGGTGCATTATGTTTTGAATTATCAGAATCCCAAATTAATACTACTTGTAGACTGCGCACCATTATTGTTGTATTCAGATAGTTTAGATGTGCACTCATGTCAAATGTTTAGAGCTGACTTGGTTTTGGCACACATTTACAAATCTATTGGAGCTATCACTAGTAGTTAATGAAAGGATTCAGAATTATTGAAGGGCTGCAACATCCATATGACTGGTTTTAGGTCATATGATGATTTGGAGCTCTTCAGTGTTATGAAATTGTCGGTCAAGGAAGAGGACCATTACCGTTGTTATTGTTGTTGTTGACTTGAGTCCTTGCATTGTAAGAATGGAATCCTTTTTGTTGTCTGTTTATATTGTTTGGTGTTGCTCAGGATTTATATACTGTGCATCAATAAGGGTTACAAGCCAGATCACTTCAATATTTGTGCCAAATTGATGGTTTATTAGCTGACCTTCAAAAGGTTTTAACAGGAAATTTGCCGTGTGCCTTGGATGTAACTAGGATGCTCAGGTCATTTATGAAGTCAATGATTTGAAACAGGAAGCCTCTTCTTTATTTTCTGGTCAGTATTGTAGGTCACCTATTTGTCAGGTGGCTACATTGTCTTCCATCAAATTGGTGGGCATCAGTCTTTTTTCAATCCCTCCCCCACTAAAGGCCTTTTGTCCAGACTCCATTGATTCAATATTAAAAGGTAGAAAGCACACTTGACTGTAAAAATTAGGGAAAATCATTTTATAAGTATTTTTCATACCAATGAAGCCTATTTATGCAAACTGTGCTTGTTTGGTGGCAGATCATCTGAGTGCAGAGAAATGAAACACATTGCTTTCATCTCATAATCGATGGGTATTCTGTTGCAACAAGCTATTTTGAACATTGAATGTTAATGACTGATCAGGTTGCTATAAGTATTGGTTGTAACACCTATGGTGTGCTTGGCTGGCCATATCTTGAGAATCTCAAGCAAAAACTAAAAAAATTGGGATCAGTAGCTGTAAATGTACATATGGCAGCTAGTTTATGTCACGTATATTTTTTTAAGGGCCTAGTCTTTATGACATAGTTTAATTTCAAGGCTGCTGGCAACGACCTGCACTTCCAATACCTTTATTTGCTGAGGTATAAATGTGAGTTGCTGGGTCATGACACATTGACCACATGAAATATTACAGTATTTTGATGGGAATGTTGTGGGGGCATACATTGGTAGCTTTTAGCTAAGCCTTGCAGTGATCCTCAAATTGATGTAGACCTCATTGATGGGAAGGAAAAAATCAAAACTTTCTTTTGAAATCTTTTTTCATACAAGCATTAGTTCATAAATCTGCAAACTGGTAGGCTCAAAGACTAAGACCTCTTATTGATTGTGCTAATTAGAGCTCATTGAAGACTTTACTTGAGACTGCTGTTGTACTTTCTAATACTCTCAGTACATGGTACCTAAAACCCCCCAGGAATTCTGATGGGGAGGAAATAACGAACTCAACATCAACAAAACTTTGGTTTAAGTTATTTAATTTTTTTTCTAAAATTAATTTAAAGACGTCCTTGATTTAAATTTTCTATCTATTGTGTTATGTGTAATGTCAAGTTTTTTAAAAAACAAACAAAAAAACACCATCATGGTGACTAACTTACTTTTTAAAACTATTGCGGTGCGATTTTTCAATAAGCATCACAGTATATTTTGTTATTCTCTGATACGACCAGGTGTGCTTTTGTCACTCCTTATTTAGAACCGTATTTTTCTTTGATTTTCATAATTTCGTTATATTGTACCAAGCAGTTTCATTCTCTTTGAGCTCCATTTATATTTATATTTGCTTACAAAGCTTGTGATAAAAAAATACTGATTATTTCACAGTTATTGGATTTTATGTCATCAGTTTTATTGGTGCATAAAACCAATCTTTCTTCTATTTGGCATTAAGTTAGACAATTTGTTAAAAGACCTATGTGTCAACAGATTTTAGCTCCTAGTATGTTACTAAAAGTGTAAATTTCATATTTTGAACTTCCCTTGTCCCCTTTTTTTGATGAAGTGAACTCTAGTCTGTTATATTCTGGTTTAGTGAGGTGTGCGTTCGATCCAGTTAGTGCTTCCTCCATTTTCATGTATTAATACCCTGCACTGTACTGCAACTGCGCATTGTGACTGTTACATTATAATTCCAGGGACTGTGACTGTGATGGCTCCACACATCTGACTTCCCTTTTTAATATTTGGAGTCTGCTGCCATGATTGCCAAAAGAATGATTGCATGGAAGTTGTGGATGAAGCGTACTACAGCATTGTCAATTTAACTTGGTTGTGGACTTGTGGTTTTTTAATCATTTGTGGGAAGACTTGTGAAGCAATTTTGCTTCAAAAGCATCTAGCTTCACTTATCTTCCCCTGATTGTTTGAAGTGATTTATGTTCCCCTAAAATGACATGTAAAGGGGGGTGAGAAAATCTCTCTATATGGTATATGATATATATGAAAAAAAAATACAAAAATAAATAAAAATACATGGCTTCAATCGGCAATGGTTGTGTCCCGGGCCGGAAACTTAATAACAGACAACTGCTATGGATCATTGACCAAGGCTGGTTCAGAGACAGGTTAAAGAATTCTGTGAGCAACTCAGCCTGTCTTGCTGTATCCCAGAAAACTTTTGCCTGTACCTGCACATGAAGTTGATCATATATAAATTACCACTTATCATCATTTGCTATTAATTATTATTATTACTATTATAATTATTATTACTGTTAAATAAATGCTTTTTTGTTCAGTAATTTCTGCTTTCCTGATGTTTGCAAAAGAAAAAGTAAAAAAAAATAATTGGTACATCATAAAAGTAAGTTAATAAATGCATGAATAAGTCCAGGGTAAGTGTGACAAGGCATGTATGCTTTGGACGTGAATTAATTCAGCAGTGTTACGGATTTTCTTGCCTTATGAATGAGTGTGAGTGTGTATCCGTACATGTGAGCGGCAGGCACATGACCTGTAATTGCTGCGATATGTTAAAGCTCAATAAGTTAGTATAGATCAGTTCAGGTCATGTCATTTGTTTCTTGTTGCAAATTTGTTTTTCTTTTAAATAATTGTGTAAGGTTTGACTGAGCATATCATTCTGTTAAATTTTTTGTTGTTTATTGTGTAAATGGTTTGGTTTTAAATGTTCAAATTTCTCTCTTGTGTATGTTCTTTCCCTTTTAAAGGTATGTGTTAGGCCTGATACAAAAGATATTAGAAATATCAGTTCACATTCAAAGAGAGAGAGACTATATCTTGATTCTGAGTGATGTCTGCATGCGCTGACTGTGTGTACGTACAAGGGACAATGCTATGTGAAACTCAGAAATGTTACCATGCAGGAACCCTTCATTTCCTTCCTTGTCAGCATGAGACATTTTTTGTGTTAGCTAGCTTGAAGGGCTTCCTGCTTTCGAATTATTTCCAATAACATTTTTAATTGTTTGAACAAGAAAATTTGCTAGAGACAAAATGCTAAGTCAAATGTCTTTCCACAAAATAGTGATGACAGCAGATGGATCGTATATATATATTGTACAAGAAACAGAGCACAATAAATGATGGATTGAAATGGATTTATTACATGAAAATCTGACCATACTTTCTTTCCTTCACCTCTCCCCTGCCCTCTAATGACATTGTTTCCAGCTCAGCTGACTCGATCGGACCAGTAGTCCGGAATCGGAGGGGGAAGGTCAGAAAGTGACGCCTACCCCATTGAGCACCTTATCCTTATTCAGCGTTTGGTTTTGGGGTTTTCGGCGTTTCAAGCCGCTTGAAAAAAACACAGTAAAAAGGGGGGGGGGGGTTGACCTGGCGTCGAGCAAAGTGTGGTGTGGACGGGCCGAACCGAGCAAGGCGCCCCGCCCGGCCCACTCCCCGTATCCGTATCGGCTCTGCCGCCCGGCCCGGCACAGGCTCGGCCCACAGGCAGGCTGCCGCCGGCACAGTGAGGCGCGCCGAGCCGAGCCACTCCGCACTCAGTCTACGACAGTCGCTGAGCAGAGCGGAGCAGAGCGGAGCAGAGCGCTCGCGAGTGGGCCGCGCCAGAGTCCAGCCGAGCCGTACGCGAGCCGAGCCGGGTCGAACCGGGCCGCGTCGCGTCGCGCCGTGGGCCAGCAAAACAATACCAAAACCAGTACCGCACCGCCACCGCCGTCGCCGAGTGCCACGCCACACCGCACTTCCACCGTCCGGACCCAGCCGCGCGCCGTGCCGCCCAGCAGTGACTGTGACGTGTCGGTCACGGTGCGCGCTGTGCCGCCAGCGACACGTGACACGACGTGACCGCGTTCAGCCCGTCCACCTCCAGGTAAGCGCCCCTCCCACCCCACTCCCAGCCTCTCCGCCTCCGGGGAGCAATCATGCTGGCTGCTCCATGCTCCATCAGTGTCGCGGATGTTTGCTCGGCTCCAGCTCCAGACCCCCGCCCTTCCCTTGTGTCCCTGGGCCCGGGCGCGTGCTGGCCATGGGGATGTTCTGGGAAGGGGCGGCGAGGGCGACGGCGGGAAATTGTCACCGGAACTTCAATCCTCATATACACTGTACACACAGTGGGGTGGGGCGTGTCTGGGCGTGACCCAGCCTCACGTCTCTGTCTCTGACAAGACGGGTCAGACCGACGGGACGGGAGGAGTAGAAGAGGCGGCTTACAGAGCGAGCCAACCGGTCCATCAAGGGGGTATTCACCACAAGAACACCTGTCTGAAGGGTACGGGGCACTCGGTGTTACCTGCGCTGTATTACGCGGGTCGAAAACATTTCAGAGCGTATTGTTATATTTTGGAATCAAACTACGAATAAATACCACGATGAACCTGATTCAGGTGAACAGGCTTGTGTGAGCCTGAATACCCGGCTATTATATACGGAAGTGAAGAGTGGATTACCCCATCGCCCATGTGCCAGCCGAACCCTTCATAGTGCACTTACTTATACAGAAACTAAAAGAAGAGACAGAGTGTAACGGTGCTAGAATATACTCACAAACCTCTGGTCACTGGATTGCCGCAGGGGCAGGCCGTAGGCAGGCAAACCCGCAGTACCGCTGCAGCATCTCCGCTACAGCCCTGACGTATGGAGCCGAGTGGGCGGGCTACAAGGGCCGGCGGCAACGGCAAGGGCGCTAGCGGTGCTATCCCGCTCATCACACCGACCATTATGACCCGATGAATGGTGGCGAGACAATCGCGCTCCAAATGGCGTGCAGGACGAGGGCCAACCCGACCCGCCATCTCCCTCTCACACTATTATTTGCCGTCTCTCTCTCTCTTCCCACTGCCACCGATCTTGTTCCCGGAAGAGGCCAGGGGCGGTTACAGAATGGTCTCTGCTGTAGACGATGTGCGGTTGCCTACTTGCAGAGAAGAAATTGAGCATGCCGAGCGCGCCTTTTGTCTTTTTCATAGCCATCCTGGAAGCACGTTTTTACCAGATTGATTCGGAAAATAACGGGAGCTCGTCGCCTGCGAAAGTTAGGGTAGACCACCCTGCAGTACGCAGTACACGCACGCATTGCTGGCAAACTGTTGCCTACCTATCAGGCGCTATGAGAGCTAGCATTGGCTGAACTTGATAGTTTCGAAACGGCAAATGAAGGGGGGCATACTTTCTGGATTATCTCTTTCTCAATGCATGGTATTGATTGGAAACATCCATGTGTGTTGTGCCTGTGAACCAAAGGCCAGGGTGTGCTGCATTCTGTTTAGTTTAGCTACACAGCGTGGCCAGTGGTCGCTGTGCCCCGTTGGAGCAGATGCATATACTAGCCCGTATGCGCACGAGCGGACGGGCTGTAAGGCGCCATTGCTAGGAACGATAGGCAAACCTGTCTGCACCCGCGCATGCGGGCTAGGATACGCTTTGGCTCCAACGGGGCAGACAGCGACACCCCTGTTTGGAACGAGCCGAGGTGTGTGGGTGTGGTGGCACTCTGGCAAACCCTGTGCTGTGCGGGACCACGACCACCGTTTCAAGATATGCTGTCTGAGCACGTCATGCGAAGGGCCTCTGATCTCTGATCAAAGCCCACGGTGTGGTGTAGCTACACGGCCTTGGGCAGTGTATGTGTAAGTGATGGACTATGAGGATCTCTACAACCAACACCATCTGTACTGAAAAGGGCTCGCACTCTGACTTCCAA